GCTGTACGGACAGCCAAAGCCGTAACGGGGAAACTAAGCATGCCTGTCCCTTGTTCCAACCCCCCCCCCCAGTATGATTCTATGATCTTGCATCACAAACAGAGCCATGGAATCCTACCAGTGTCCAAAATGCTCCCGTTTCATACTCAGACCTGGTGGGAAGCAAAGCAGTGTTTATGTCCACCCTGGCCCATTCCCCTAGGATGGCCATATTCTGCTCATTTCCTGGCTCCCCAAAGTCCCTCCCACCTTCCTTTGCTTCTTCTACATATCATGCACTGTCCTACTTCCCAGTTAGGCTGAGTTCCTTACAGCTCCAGCTTTGCCTCTGGTCGTGCCCAGGCAGCAGAATCCAACATCGTGGCCTTGGAAGGCGGCAGAAGACTCATCCAGTTTCTCAAAGTCAACAACTTCTTGCTTCTGCAAAGGGAGGCACAAGGTAAGTCAGAACGTGAAAGAAACCCATTAAAAAGCTTAGATAAAAAAGAGGCGACAGGGCAGCAGGCGCATGCTTTCTTGGGAGACCTTTCCTCAGGCCGATTTTAGAAGGGTTGACTCAGTTCCAGATGTGTGGGATCCAAGCGGTAAGGGAAATCCCCTGAGCAAAAAGCACTGCTGACAGGTGGTATTCACCCCTCCAGCATCCCACGTGCAGGTGATTCCGCCTTCCACAGCCTGCAGTTCAGCGTCCCATTAAAAAGCTTAGATTAAAAAAGAGGCGACAGGGCAGCAGGCGCTAGCTTTCTTGGGAGGCCTTTCCTCAGACCAATTTTAGAAGGGTTCACTCAGTTCCAGATGTGTGGGATCCAAGCAGTAAGGGAAATACCCTGAGCAAAAAGCACTGCTGATGGTGTTCACCCCTCCAGGTGGTGTTCACCCCTCCAGCATCCCACGTGCAGGTTATTCTGCTGTTTCCCAGACCAGCATAAGCAAGCTTTCACTTGCCCTCCACCAGAAGCATCAGGACTAGGGGTGTTAAAAAATAAATAAATCATTTTTCCCTCGATTTGGGTCTACTGGACCCGAAAAATATTGGTATTCCCGAATACCAGTACCAGTATTGGTATTGGGGATAAATATTCGGGGAACCCAAATTTATTCGGCTTCGTTATCCATTATCTGGTGGAAAGTACCTTGTGCCCCCCCGTCCCCCCCCCGTCCCCCAATTACAATCAGAATAAGTCTTTGGTCACTGAAACCAGACCAAGCCTTTATCTTCATCTTTTGGCGAGTAAATAATGTGACCCATTAAGACTCACTTCTTTCAGAGACCCAAGAGGATCATCTTTACCAGGGCTTTTTTTGTAGAAAAAGGCCAGCAGGAACTCATTAGCATAACAGGCCACACCCAACAGCAGAAACTCATTAGCATATTAGGCCACATCCCTGACACCACAACTCATTTAGCATATTAGGCCACACCCCATGCCTTCCCTTGGCATGCCCGGGCACCCCGCGGCTGCGGGGAGCCTGAGCAAGCCCCCCCTTGAAGGGAAGGGAAGGCAGTTCGGTGTAGTGGTTAAGTGTGCGGACTCTAATCTGGGAGAACCGGGTTTGATTCCCCACCTTCCTTCTGTAGCCATGCATGCTTAGAGGTTTTGGCTGTAGGCGTGGGTGTGGCCAACTCGGAAGCCAGCTGGAACTCCGTTCCTGTGCGTTCCTGCCCAAAAATAGCCCTGAATTCTTTACTCTTATGACTAAAGGAACTGTTTTGTTATTGCTCCTTTGTTAAAACATAAGTTGAGAAATAAGCAATGGGGGTGTTATCTTTATATGTATTTTTTTAAAAGCATCTTTATGGATACAAAGAGAATGCCCTCCACCCCGGTTGCTGATTTCTCATTCTCAATGTATGTTTTAATAAAGCTGCACTAACAAAACAGTTGCTTCCATCATAAGGTAGAGATGATCCTGTCGTGTATCTGAGAGAAATGTGTCTTAATGGGTCACGTTATTCTCAGGCCAAAATATATGGTGTTTTTTCCCTTTTCTTTTCCATTGCTGCAAAGGTCCAGTAGAGATTTACCAGGCAAAATTAACATAAGGATGTTAAAACCACTCTAATTGCTTTCCTTTTGGACGCATGTTTTAAAAGAAGCTTTGGAGGTTTACACTGCTCTTTGGCGAGAAATACAAAGTCGTACGGTTTAACAGCACGGATAGATGTAGATGCCTGATCTACATTTCTCCTGTCGAAAATGCATGTTCTCAGGTTTTCCTTGCTCCTGTTCCAAAGCTTGTCAAATGAAAGTATGGTGACTTGGAAGTGCATTGCCCAGACCAACATTCTCTCAAGTACATAATTCTTGGAAGGCTGGGGACACTGCTAAAAAGAAACACCTCCACCTTCATCTTTAGATACGCATTACATCAGTCAATGTGACCTGGGCTTATTTTCTTTGCAATCAGTCAATGTGAGCTGTGACGGGAGCCATGGTATTACTTGAACTGTTTGTCATCCCAATATGAATTCAGAATTCAAAATTATAATAAAAAGAGAATTAAAAAAATGTGAGCTGGGCTGACTTTCTTTGCCATCACTATTTTATAGCAACAAGAATCATATCTAGATATCACATTTGTATTCTGCTGTTTGCAAGAGGGCCTGTTCAAACATTAGAAAGCCTGAACGTCTTTCAGGAGTCTGCCATGTAGGGTTGCCAAGTCCATCTTCCACCCCCAGCGAGGGACTTTGGGGGCGTTCCTGGAGGGGGCGGGGCATCCCCGATGTGATGCCGTCACGTTGGGGACGTCCGCCCCCCCCCCCCGTGCGCCAGATCTCCAGAAAC